TCAGCCACATAGGCAAAATCTCCTCCATCTGCTGTCACTGAGGACTCCGTGGTTATAGATAAGCATTCATGCCCTTGAGTATATGAGTAAACTGCAGACTGAACATTACTTTTGTAAGTATAATTATGTGGCCAAACACAAGCTAATTTTCCACAGAGAACATCCCTAGAAATGGAAAGAAAAAAATTCCTTATCATTTCTTTTTTTAAATGATTATGAAGTTCCAAATAAGTGTTATATTATGTGGGTAGTAACAGAAATGTTATTTGACAGTATAAAACCAGGGAAAAAAAGCCAAAATAATGATCTCATGGTGTACAATTGAATGCAATTTGATTAATTAGCATTGTAGAAGAATTCAAAATTATTCACAACTCAATGTGCAGACATAATATCATTTCTTATTTCAGAACTCAACTTTGTTGTCTAGCCTCCAGTTGTATTGGGACAATCATCATATTTTATTATATTTTGGGGGGGAAATTTATTACCTGTGCCCACTTCGGTGTTGCTTAGCCAGTCTGGGCACCTGTTACTCAACATTTGCTGAAAGTGGCTGACTGCATTCATTTACTCCTTGTCTGTCATCTGAGCCCATTCTGATTATGCCCATGGTCCTTGCCATGGTCTTCAGTCAGTATGACTCTGTAGTATACAGACTCTTTATATTTATTCCAACATTATTTCTTTTCTCTTCTTCTTTTTTTTACCAAATTCTTTTTTTATTATTGTTCAATTTCAGTTGTCTTCATTTTCTCCTTATTACTTTCCCCCTGTCTTACCCACTCTTCCTTTCTTCTGATGGTTATTGGGAGAACTGTGTGAGGTCCCAAGATGACTGCTTTGAAGGCGACTGAGGCATCCTTGTCCTGTGTACAGCATTTATTGTATCTTGTATTTTCTTCAAAAAAATGTCTCTATTTTTCAGATTATATGGCTGGATACCTTCCGGACAGACCTTGTACATGGCAAGTGTTGTGTGCTTATACTCCTGTTAACAACGACTGTTTTGTTTGCTATGGTATTGTGTGTCTCCTGTATACAAGCTTCTTTGGCTTTCAAAAATAGATGTTTTATGATCCTGCTCTTCAGATGAGAGTTTTAAATTTGGGGGCTCTAAATGCAGGGTCCAAATCATTTGCTCCTCATGTAAAATCGAGAAATGGGAAGTTCCATTTCAGTTGTATGGTTCTGTGGAGAACAAGACCTGAGGCCATGTTTAGAGCTTGTGCAGGAGAGCAATGATCCAGGGGGGAGAACCAGCCCCTCAGCATGCACAGCACAGCATGGTAGACAACATGTGCTTATCTGAAGGGTAGCGGCCCCTGGCAGAGAGTGGCATGTGCCTATCAGAGCTGATGTAAACAACATGTGCCTACTGAGACTGAGGAAAACGACATGTATTTATTGAAATTTAGAAAACATACAAGAGACTGTGCAAAAACAACATGAGTTTGCAAACCAAACAAGCATAAAAGCAGAGGACTTCAGACCATGGACGGTGCATCCGGAGACCAAGTCACCTTGAGATGTCCTGTATGTTTTGCCTCTAGAGAAAGTGCTCCCCAAGATCCCAGCCCTCTGACTCTGCTTTTCAAGACATTGACCACCTGGCCCAGTTGCTTCCTGGACCTGATTTGGACTTTTTGGACTCGGGTTTGTTATATCCCCTAATCCTTTTATGTGATGTTATTGATGACTGTTTCTGAATGATTATTATTTTTATTGGGTTATTGTATGTTGGATTGAATCTGCATTAATACATCTGAGTGAACAGCATAGTCACTTGTGTTGACTCACTGTTATTCCTTAGTGCAGACATGACCATAGGGCTGGTGGCCATACAAGTGGCCCAGCACTTTTAGTTCTTCAGGGCAAGAGTGGGGACCCAGGGCTGACTTATAGGAAAGACTGCATCACAAAACATTAACTCATGACAGTGCTGTGCCAGGAGTTGGATTTATGGTGAGAGTATGTCTCTACCTGTTTCAACATGGCTACATAGGAGTCACTCAGCTGGTTTCTGGATTTCTTTCAGAGGTAATTATTCCATGCTTACCTGGACATTCAGGGTACCTTTGAAAAGAAGAGAATTCAGGAGTTTTCTATATCGCCATCATTGTCAACCTCCTTTTACTATTTGTGTGATTCTTTTATTTTCAATACTTCTATGAATTCAGGGAGTATGTGTTGTAGGGGACTGGTTTGTTTTTGTCTGGCAAATGTGACTCAGCTGTGTATGGAAAACCTACAGAAGTGAAGTGGTGGGCAGGAGCCAGACCTTCAAACAGAGTTTTCCCATGGGAATCAGGCCTAGAAAATGCATACAGACTTGCTCTTGCTAAAACTCCATCACCCTGTTCTAAAACAACAAATGTGTATTGTCTATCTTCAAGGTAATATCCAAAGCCTGTGTGAATTTTCCCAAGGACAGAGCTGATCAGCTTGCCGCCATTCCCCTCTGCATGTTATTTTCATTTCCTTGATTGTACCTAATATGTAAACAATAATATTCTATGTAATAGATAATAAATCTTTCTCTGATGTAAGACCGGAGGAAAGCAATTAAAGCCTGTCTAGGCAAGGGTCAAGGTGCTCCCCTCTTGAGGTAGTGGCTGAGGTGCCATAGGCACTCTCCCCTTGAGAGAGCAGCCGTGCTGTTCCCCTTTTCTCCACAGGATTGTTTTCATCTGTGCATTTATTCTCGTCGTCAGCCACAACAGGCAGACTCTGCTGGCACATGTGTTATGGGGAAGCACTTTCTTTTTTAAATTTCATAAATCCCTTTATTCTAAAGCTTACAGTGACACCATATTTTAGAACTACACAGTCAGCTGTTAATATGTACTGTCATATTTTACATATTAGTAATGTGAAAACAAGCAACAAACAAAAAACGGTTCTTTGCAAAATCCATCTTAAGTCAAAGCACTTGCTTTATGACCATTATCATTCACTGACTTCATAAAAATTCCATTTTAATTCTCAAAATAGAGCTCAAGTTTCTGATCTCCCCTCCCCTCCCCTCCCCTCCCCTCCCCTCCCCTCCCCTCCCCTCCCCTCCCCTCCCCTCCCTCCCCTCCCCTCCCCTCCCCTCCCCTCCCCTCCCCTCCCCTCCCCTCCCCTCTCTACTCTCCTCTCCTTTTCTCTTTCTTCCTTTCTTTCTTTCAGCAATTTGCATCCACTTCCTACCTCTGATAATAAATGTCAGCCTTTTTTTATTCTAGTTTCATTATTAGAACAGTTATCGGGGAAAAAGAAAAGTTGAATTGCATAGAAAAAATACACATAATGTTATTTCAAATATTCTTCTGGCATATAATTTAACTGTCCAGTATTAGTTATTGTCTCTTGACAAGCAATATAGAATTCAATGAAACAATCATTTTAACATACATACTTTGGTTCACAAGGTAATGTTTGTGAAGTTTTAAAGCTACAGTTTCCAAATCTATCACGAAGAGAATTAATTTCTTCAAAACAGGCAAATGGAGCACCTTGAGCACCTTGAAATGCAAAAACATCTGTTAAATAATGATTTTTAATCCAAATTAAACATTTTGTTAGTAAAAAAGCTAATAAATTACTCATTGAATAATAAAAATATCGTGATCTTGATCACACTACCTTCTTGTGTGTACCTTGTCAATTGTTTTACCTAATAGAACGCAGAAGAAGATCATATCTATTGTAGTGAAATACATTATTGTTAAAAACAATTTGCTTCCTCTCCCTGTGGTAATGCACACTTCCTACTCCAAGAGCTATCAGGCTTGCCTCTGTGAATTGCTCTGTTTAATGAAATGAGAGATTTAAAATATGTCACTTATGAGAAAAAAAACTTGTGGAGCTGGTACCTAGAGTGTCATATTCTTTTTCCCCCTTATGGCAGATAAGTAATTTTTAAAATAGAGGCTCATTTGGCAGTGTTATGTCATTACCAAGACAATATGGAGCAGCGGGATGGTTGTATTGGGTATGCAAATCTCGGAAATTTGAGGGTTATTTTCATTTTATTAAACACAGGAATTGGTACCTAGAAGTGTAGTTCTATTATAAAATATGCTTAAAATATTGTGGCTTTGTCATTGGAGCCTGGCAGGAGGTGGTAAAAAACAAACAACCAAGCAAATAAAGGATTATCAGGGGTTACAAGGAGAGTAATGTGGGATATGAGATGTTGAAATATTTGGGAAAACTATTTTTTAGTAAGTTAATGGGAGATAATAACCTTAATGAATTTGTTGCCTTAGGCAAAGAGATGGAAAACATAATTTTAAACAGGAAAGACCCAGCTATTTTAGAAGCAGTAATTAAAAAAACAGAAATAGTTCAGAAATGTGTCCACCCTGTAGGCACTGGGGTGGTGGTGACAGACGCTGGTTTATGTCAATTGGCCGAGTCATCACATCGGTTCAGTTGTTTTGTGTCTCTTTCAGAGTGACTGCTTTTTGCTGAGTGTTGACCTAGCTAATTAATACAAAGATCTTCACCTTTCTTGTTCTTTCCCATGTACCTATCTACCCACATTTCAGAGCTCTCATGTCTAATTTTCCAGTCTTTCTATATCTGGCTCTCCATCAACCAGCTGAGCCCTTTCTCACTGCCCATTAGTACATCTATAATCTAACTTCTGTCCCTCTCCTCTTCCACGTAAAATGAATGACCAGGTGGTCAGTATCATTCAAGGCATCCTACTAAGTGGGATCAGAGTATGGCTAATGTCCTTTTTCAGTTTATATAGCCAATTACTGAACCATAACTGTTACTGTAAAAGAAGCATCTTCTTTTTGTATCAGCTGGTGGACATGAAAAGAACAGGCCACATGGCCACAGGTGTGAGCTGATGGAAAAGCAAAGGTACGAGGGGGAAAAGACATATTGTTATGGATTTACTATTCATGGATTTCTCTTCTGCCTTCTCTTTTTGCATGTGCTTGAGCCAAGATGAATGCATGCCATTTATCTAACTGACTAACTTAGTGGTTTTTACATAACAGCTTATGATGCAGAGTTCTGAACACATCGTCAGTTGGTATCCAGAAGATTTTTCCATCTCTACAGGGGCCAGTAGTGTGGCCCGTTGCTTTGCCAAAGTGGTGTAATTCTCCAGTTTCAATGGCACAGCCTTGCTGTAGGACCCCAGGGGGTTGCACTGCTAATCTCCCAAAGAGGCTTGGTACATGCCCTACATGGCAATTTTTTTCTCACGGTCTACCACTGTAATGTTACTGGGTCTGCTATGTTCTATGATTCAGAATGAGGGCTGGTTGCATTTCAGTCTGGACATGGTGCAGAACCCTTTCCTGTATTTCTCCTCACTCATCATTAGCAACGTGGCATGTCATCCAGTAAAATGGAATCAAGAAGTACTTCCCCACTTGGAATATACTGTCTCCAGAACCCAAAGAGGCCTACCAGGTGTACTTCTCTCTTTGTCATAGTATATGCAAGGTACAGTTTGTCTTTTACTTGGCAGGGATGTCAAGTCATGCTTCTGACCACTGGAATCCTAAAAATTTTACTGATGTGATCATTCCTGAATACTCCCAGGGTCAATCTAGTGCCCTGTGTGGCACGTGCCTTTTACTTGGCCTTTCAAAATATTAGTTACACTTTGCTTATTTAGCCTGATTAGTACAAAACTCTTGCTGGAGTAGATCAATGTCGTATTTTCTGGGATGTCCAAATGTCTTCAACTACATTATGTCTGAGGTCAGGAGAGTCAACGTTGCCCTGGAGCAAAACTCAAAGTGAATGCCATCATCTACGGCAAGCAAACTGTTTCTCATTTTCTTTTCAAATAGGAATAGAAAAGAATATATTTGCCAAGTCAAAGACTGTACTTGTACCACATATCTGAGGTCATGCTGATCTGCCCTAGTCTAGACATCACACCTAGCACAGTGGACACAATTACTTACTCTAACACTTGAGTGCATTGGCAGTAGATTACTGTTATCTTCTGGGGATCATCTGATTTATGTAGGGATCAGAATGAGTAATTAAATGTAAATATACAGCCAATCCTTTAGATTTTTGAAGTCAGCACTAATTTCTGGAAGAGGACAAAGACTTTCTCCTACAAAATTCTAGGACCGAGAAGTAATTATCAAATGGATCAAACTAGATTTGATCAAACTGGATTATCAAACTAGATTTGTGGATCTAGTGGCCCCATGGGAAACTGAAACTTGGTAAGAATGCTATTTATTCCCTGAGCCCTGAAAGCCCTCACTCTCCCAGAAAGACCACAGGGTCACTGGAATTCTGGGTATCTATATCAATTCAGACTTTTTGTCCACCCGTTTCCAAAGTGCTTGGGCATTTCCCTTTCCCCAGTGTACAGATACCTGGTTAAATAGGTGTAGGTAATTTGGGGAATCAGCAGGGGCATTGTTATGACAAGTATTTTCTAAGGTTTTATGGAGTTTTCCTTCTGGGCCTTTAACCTCTCCTTAAGTCAGTTAGTCTTGGATTCAGAATTTGGACATGGGATTATGAAATTCACTAGGGTAACTCTCTTCAGGCTCCTAGTTATCTATTTTTATTTCCTTTAATGGTACACACTAGGTAATATCCTTGTTTGTTGCCCACAGAACACATAATAGAAACCATATTCTATAAAGTGTCTTCCTGTTTTAAGATCAGGTATCCATGTCTTCTACTCTGTCCCTCTTTACTACGATAATTTTATCCATCTTGTGTCTGGCAGTCAAGCACTACTATGTGGCCTTGGTTTTTTTTCAAGATCTTGTAATGCACATTGCTATCAGTGATCCTACTTCTATAATACCCTCTCCTACCATTAACCCCTGGCCTACAGAGAAGGTCATCACTGAGACTTACAGTGATTCTGATGCCATTCTCTCAGCACACTCCCTGTTGGGTGTAATTATTTACTATACACATTATAGTATGTCCAATTCTCTTAGCCTTCTCTTTCTTTCTTCCATTATCTGCATGGTAATTCCATCATTTAAACTTGACTTAGAGTGGGCCATTATGTTTTCTTCACATGTTTCTGGAAATAATCTTGTGGAAACCTATACTATCTTCTAGGATTCCTGCCAGGATGTTAAATCCTGTATCCTGGGAGAGCTCTCCCAAAACAGTAAGCTCTCTCTTATTCAATCTTATTTTCCCCCATTCAGTTTTATGATCAAGCACTCTCACATCCAGTTCCATGTGTACCCCACTGATTCTGGTAGTAACTATTAGCTAGGACCTATAGCTCCATTGGGATATAGATTCCTTTATTCTCTCTCTTTTTAAAAGGATTTTATTTATTTTTAGAAGGGAAGGAAAAGTGAAAGAGAGGGAGAGAAATATTAATGTGTTTGCCTCTTGCCATTAATGTGGTTGCCTCTTGCGTGCCCCCCCCCCGGGATCTGGCTTGCAACCCAGGCATGCACTCTGACTGGGAATGGAACTGGTGACCCTTTACTTTGCAGTCCAGTGCTCAATACACTGAGCAACACCAGTCAGGGCAGTTTTTTGCTCTCTTAAGTACCAGCACATCTGGGTTCTATTCTGCTGTGCCATAACTCCATTTTCAGCTAGTGACCAGGAGGAGTAAGGAAGAGATACCAAGTACATAATTATTTATTATGTACATTATTATGAATGATAGGCTTCTGTATTATCTTCAGACAAGGGTAACACACAGCATTCATAATTGAAAGTTGGTGGTGGTGTGAGGGGACAGGGCTGTGCCATCCTAAAAATTTTAAGTTTCAGAGACACCTGGAGGCTCAAAATTACGAGGGGAGCATTTTCAATGTTCCCACCCCAAGGGCAAGTCCCATTCTTTTCTCCACAGAACCTGAACCCTAGAAAAACAGACTTGACTGAGAATGTAACCTTCTCTGGAGTTCCTTCAATTTGATAATTAACTTTTCAGCTGTCTCTAACCTCCTCTATTGAGAGAGGGAAGCCTCTATCGACAGTATATGTTAACAGGGGAAAGTGTCCAGCTTACACTTTCATTTCAAAAACATACTTGTTTGTTATCTTTTCCTAGATTTCAGTTATGCTAGCTATTAATAGCCAATCACTTCCATTGTGCTTGCACTTACTATTTCTGCCATACATTTCAACTGTGACAGCTGATGCATTCTCTTGCACTAGTGCACTGTCCCAGGTCATTGGGTGAACATATTACCAACTTCCGCCAGTGATGGGGTACTCACTGACAGCAGGTGATGCAGTTTTGAAAATTTATCTTGTAGACTATTTACCCATGCTATTCTAAGTACCAACTGTTCATGGTTGGAATTTCCTAAATATGCCATGCAGATGAAACATGATATGCAAGCTATTTATTAAAGATCAGAACATCTGGAAATGAGAAGGAGGCAGGACGGAGCAGAGGAGAAGTCAAACTGAGATGCAGGCCCAACAAAGACGACCAGCCCCATAGGTAGCTGAGGAGCATAAATCACCTGCCAGAGTACAAACTGTGCCTGGTTTGTGCCTGATTGGGCCCAAGTGTCCAGGTCTGGGTGTATGTTGCCCTGGAAAGGGTGTGCTTTTGGGTGAAGTGTGTCTGTGAAGCTGAGACAAATCCTGAAGGATTGAGCTGACAGCTTGAAAATAAAGACGATTGGTAGTATTTCTCTTGTCCACTACACCACTTTATCTGCCCTTCCATTCTAAATGAAAGCTTTGCTAAATAGAGCAATCTTGGATGTAGGTCCTTGCCTTTCATGACTTAGAATACTTCTTTCCAGCCTCTTCTTGCCTGTAAGGTCTCTTTTGAGAAATCAGCTGACAGTCTGATGGGAACTCCTTTGTAGGTGACTGTCCCCTTATCTCTTGCTGCTTCTAGAATTCTCTCCTTCATTTTAATCTTGGGTAATGTAATTATTTATGATGTGCCTTGGTGTGTTCCTTCTTGGGTCCAACTTCTTTGGGACTCTCTGAGCTTCCTGGATTTCCTAGAAGTCTATTGCCTTTGCCAGATTGGGGAAGTTCTCCTTTATTAGTTGTTCAAATAAGTTTTCCATTTGTGGCTGTTCCTCTTCCCCTTCTAGTACCCCTATAATTCAGATGTTGGAATGTTTAAAGATGTCCTGGAGGTTCCTAAGTCTCTCCTCATTTTTTTGAATTCTTGTTTATTTCATTCTTTTCTGTTTCGTTGTTTCTTTCTTCCTTCTGGTCCACTCGATTGATTTTAGTCCCAGTTTTATTTCCATCACTATTGGTTCCCTGTGCATTTTGCTTTATTTCACTTAGTGTAGCCTTCATTTTTTCATCTAATTTACTACCAAAATCAACCAGTTCTGTGAGCATCCTGATCACCAGTGTTTTGAACTGTGCATCTGATAGGTTGGCTATCTCTTGGTGGCTTAGAAGTACTGACACTGGGGCTTTGATCTGTTCTTCTGTTTGAGCCATAATGTTTTGGTCTGTTCACATCCCTTTTGTATGGGGGGCGGAGCCTTAGGTGTTCATCAGGGTCGGGCAACCTAGTTGCTGGGTTGTGACACTGTATGTGGGGGCAGGGTCAGAGAGAGAACAATGGTTCTTGCTCCGCTCTCTCTCAGATTTTGGTCCTCTCTGCTCCTTCCCACAAGAAAATTGGGCCCTTCTGATGCTGGTTCCCAGGTATGTGGGCTTGTATACATTCTAGGACTCTGGGTCTCTCCAATGAATTCTCCTCTGAGGCTGGGAGTCTCTTCCAGCACCTTTTCAGTGGGTGCTTTTAGGCTTTATTTCCCAGCACTGGAGCCCTGGGTTGCATGGTCTGTTTCACTGCCGATTTTTGCCTAGTTTATCTCAAATGTTTGGCCAGGGTCAGCCCCTCACTGCCTGCATTCCCAGGTCTGGCAGCCATCCCCTATTCCTGCTGTGACCCCTCCCCACTGGCCATCAACTCCACCCCTCTTATAAGTCTGGTTAAATGGTTTTTGGACTTCCATACAGTTCAATTTCTATCTGTTCTGGTTGTGTTTTTGTTTCTAAATCTTTGTTGTCCTTAATTTTGGTTCTGCAAGGAGGCACAGCATTTCCATCTATGCCTCCATCGTGGCTGGAAGTCCCCTTTTCTTTCAGCATGCTTTTTACTTTAAACTGCATTGAACAAAAATACAGGTTTTATATT